TTTATGACCAAAACCTGTCCTTTGGCACCATGTGCCATTTTTATTCAATCTATACATGGCTTTAATTGCTTCTCCGCTCAAGAATAATTTCAAGGGTGGAATTTGCAGTAAAAATTCTAATGCAGCAGTAGGGGTACTATTTAAAGCCCCACTAATGCTTAAGCAAGCAAGTCTTTGCACCTTTTGTAAAATGTTTAAATATGTGCTTTTGTTAATAACATTAATCCAGACCACGCATCCGTAAGAAAGCATTGGCCGGACTATGGCAGTATAAATCCATAGAGTAGATTTTGAGTTAAGGCCCCACTGTTTACCAACGATTCGCCTACAAAGTACTAGAACATTTGTGGCTGTTTGTGCCTTTTCTTTTATATGGGTGATCCATGTAAGTTTACTATCCAGGTAACATCCTAGGTATTTAACGCATTCCTTACGCCTAATAATCTGGTAACCCAGATATAAATCTGCCAGTTTCCATTTCCTTCTCCACGTGAAAACTATGACCTCAGATTTTTCAGCAGAGAAAGAAAGGCCATTTGTATCACCCCAGTGTGAAACTTTATTTAAGATCTGCTGAGCTTGATTATGTAGGGTTCCGATATCGAAACCCTGTAATAACACAATAAGGTCATCTGCATAAGCCTGTGACATGCCAGGTTCCTCCCGTAGAAGTACTAAGAGTGAGTCGAATACCAGGTTTCCACAGGAACGGAGAAAGAATACCACCCTGCGGACACCCTTTAGTAATATCTCTCTTTACTTCATAGTCAGCGAGACTAACACAGATATTCATGTTTTTAATCATGAAGATGACCCATCTAGTTATCATAGGGTGAATATGACTTCCAGTAAGGGCCTTATGTATTTTCTCGAAACCGATGTTATCAAAGGCTCCTACAATATCCAGTAGAATCCCAATGGCAAAGTGTCCGTCTATAATTGTTTTTTCTATTCTCCACACGAGTTGGTGGTGTAAGGCCGACTCAGTGGAGAAGCCAGGCCTAAAACCGTGTTGGTCTAAGCCAAAGGTATGGTTCAGATTATTATCTGACTGGAGGTGCCAGAAAATCAATCGCTCCAACAGCTTAAGCTGGAAGGATGTTAGCGTGATCATTCTAAAAGAGTTTGGTTTCTCATATGTATCTTTTCCTGGTTAGGAAGGAAGAAACACACCTCGTGAAGTTCTCCAAACCTTAGGAACATATCCTAAAATCAAACTGGATTCGAATATGTCCACGAGAATGTGACCAAAAATATCCCAGCCTTTCTGAAGCAGAATTGGGTAAATGCCATCGTTCCCTGGAGATTTAAAGGGAAGAAATACATCAAGGGCCGCTTTAGCCTTTTCAAAATTCACAATTGTCTTAGCAAAATCCATCAGATCTAATGGATTATGAAGTAGTTCCAATGGATTTTCCTGGGGGTCAGAGGTGACACTTTGTCCCCCAGATGAAAATTCAACATGGTCGAAAGTGTATCCAAAGGGTTTATAGTATAACTGCCATCAGGTCGCATAACCGATGAGAGTTGAGACTCCTGAGATCTTTTAAGAATCTTATATACTCTGGCAGTCTCATGGTAGGACAGAATATCTGTGCAGAACGATCTCCATGAGTTGTATTTAGTTTTCCTGATTTCACTTTTAAATTTCCTTTGTAGAATTTTGAAGTTAGACCAGTTAACTTCAGATTTATTTCTGACTGCTTTCCTGTGAGCTCTCCGAACCTCTAGGCGGAGGCTTTCAAGCTCCTTGGTCCACCAAACTCTCTTGCTAGGAGAGTACTTCCTTCGTTTGAGAGGGCATGATGCATGATAAGATTCAATAATGATATTTGTCAAATTGTTTGCTTGAGTATCAAGCTCCTCGACTGTACAATTATTGTCTAAAACCTGAAGGTTAAGGTTAATGACATTAGAAACCAGGAAAGTCCTTATAAAGGTCCCAATTTGTGTGTTTTTAATGTTTCTGAAATATTCAAGCTGGAATTTCATCTCTAATACAAAATTGTATAAGGCGATGGTCAGAAAGTGAGGGATTGTCACTTACATGCCAATTCTCAATAAGGTTATAAATATCAGAAGAAGTTAATGTGAGGTCAATGACTTCTTCTCTTCTTCTGTTAACAAAGGTGGGGCGATTTCCCCTGTTACCCAAGTTAGGTTGGTATTCATTATAAGTTCCATGAGTTTTTCTCCTCTAGGATTAGTATCAGAACTGCCCCATGACAGGTGGTGAGCGTTAACATCACCACCAATAACCATAGGAATATTGTTTATTTCACAGAAAACTCACAAGATCTATAAATTCTTGCGGAATGTTAAGGTCATAAGCCATGTAAACCGAGCAAAAACAAATGTTTCCTCTCAGTGAACTGTTTATGTCCTTAATTAAAATAGCAGTTAAGTCCTCTGATGTAAATTGGGATAATTTCATAGCCTTTATATTTTTAGAAATGTAAATGCTAGTTCTAGGTCTTTTATCAGGTCCCTCTGTCGAAAAGAAGTGCGCGTTCATGGGCCTACCAAGGATTTTAACCCTTGTACACCCAAGGTTCTTGAATTAATTAAGGCAACAAAAGTGCCTTGCTTACCTAATTGAGCAGCTAAATTGTATGAAGCTGCTCTGCTATGTTGCAGGTTTAACTGACTAAACCTTAACCATTAAAACAGGTTAAATGAGAGAAAAGAACTTACCCTGAAGGATTTTAGGAGAGACTTAGTTAAAAGCCGCATCCTTAGCCTACTACTTCAAAGGAAGTAGTGACAGGGGAAAACTATTCAGATGTCTTCTCCAGAGCCTCCAAAGAAAGCTCTGGTTCCGACTCCTTTTCGGTCTCCCTTTCTTCCGTCAACTGTTTCTTTCGGAGGATCCTTGGGCGGAGGAATTGATTTCTCCTGTTGCCTTGGTTCCTTCAGCTGTACACAGCCACGGGCACCACAAAAAAGTTTGAAATTCTGGGCCTCCAGATAATCCATAAGCTCATGTTCCACTCCCAGCACCAAGGTATTACCTCCGTCTCCAGGGATAACTGTCTTGATGGCGATCTTCTTAACATCCAGGCCCTTGTTACAGGCATCAAGGAGCTTGATGTTATCTTTTGGTGACCTGTTACCAGGAAACCAAGCGAAAAACCTCTTCATGGGGGTCTGTCCCCGGGAGCCATGGCATGATAACCTGGATGGTTTTCTTCAGGGCCAGGTAGATCATTAATTAAAGTCTTTAGGACGTCCACAGTCTCCTGGTCCTCACATGCAATGTTGAGGCCATTCGGCTGCAGGACTGTCTTGTGGACCCTGCAGGTGGTGATAGAGCCATCGATAATTCGGTCATCAATTATAGAGGTGATGAAATCTGAATCCACTGATGTTATGTCTCTGGAGTCATCCTTGCAGATGATTCGCAGAGTGATTGCCTTTCTTGCAGCTTGACTATAAAGCCGTCGTTTCTTGAGGGCCATTTCCGGGGTGTCACCAGCAATGCGTTCTCTCTTACGAGACTCTTCATTGCTTGGATGGTTCTTCCTCACCAGTTTGGAGGTCGCTCCAGAGGTCCCAGCTTTATCTGTTTTCTCCTTCGCTCCCTTCTCCCCAGAGATCGAGATCCCTTCCATGGCCCTCTCCAGCCATTTCCGCTCTTTCTGGTATTGCCTTTTTTCTCTTCTTTTATTTACAACCTCCGTCATTGGTGACTGGTCATCCGCTTGCGCATCTGGCACAGTACTTCTGACAGAGGAGTCAGTATCCATCCCCACTGGGTTCAAGGCATCCGTGTCCGAAGGCACATTCACCCTTTCACCAGCAGTTCTGGTTTCTGTAGTCCTGAAGAGAAGAGCGTCCGCACCCGAGGGTACATTCACTCCCTCAGAAGGAACTACAGTGGTTATAGTGGGGATTTCAGAAGATGTGTTTTTATCTAATTTTGTATTCCAAGCATCCATTTTGGTATAAGATTGAAAGAAGGGGGAGAAAAATTTCTTCCGATTTTCTAAGAGCCAGTTTGGAGGGGCTAGCCCCAGATTCAGCAGCCAGTAGTGACCTCGGAAGAGCCCCCTGCTCTGCCATGCAGAACCCCACCCAGGCACCACCTGGAACTACAAGGCAGGCGAGATTATACACCAGCTGATAGAGCAGCCAGGACATGCTGGTTAGGCTGCCCCGGGCTCCTGTACTATTTGGCGGCCTGAGACCCAAAACTCAGCTTTTCTCCTGTATCCTCTACATGGCTGCTTCCTCCAAGACCCCTCCTCTCCAGATCAAAGGTCCTCGGAATTTCAAATCCTCCCCACAATCGCCAGTTTTCCCAGAAAAGAGCGGTCCGTTGGGTCGTCATAAGATTATTCGTCATCAGACCGAACCTCATCCCACTAAACCCGAGTATGCCACAGGACTTTGTGACAGTTACCCATTTAGCACCACCCAGGGGGCACGTGTGACTTGAGGATAATCATGGACGCGGGTAACATTACCCCCGTGCATTTTTAACATAGTTAATTTGCTGCTGCTTTATGTAATTTTCAATGCTTCATTATAGATGTTTCTCGCATATTTGATTTTGTTAATTCATTACTGTTTTACATAATTTTCAGTGAGCCACTATTTTTTAAAATGGCCTGTGTTTTTATATGTATTATATGTACCCATGATTAATGACTTTGCGAGAGGGTTTGGCTGATAATCAGAGAGTACCTTTATTTCTTTGTAATAAATTATGGTAGTGAAAATCAAAATAAGTTACTGATCAAAATAGGTAGTTTGATGTCAAGTACTTTCTCGTCAGAATTACATTCATACTTATGATTTCTTGTATTTAAGAAATAACAATAAATTAACATTCTGTTTAAAGGTGCATGTCTTTTAATGGTTATAATATCTGTAACATTCTGAACTTCTTGAAAATTAATTTGTATTGTTTTGCCTATTGTGTTCTATAGATGATGATAAAATGTTATCAAAGTCGTTGTAATTTTCTTCTTTGTTTTTGTGTTTGTCACTTCTTGTAGGTGAAACCAAACCAAAGATTAAAAATAGAGGTTTTTGATGAAAATCGAGTGGTAAGTGTTTGTGATTTCCCTTCTGTTTTGTAAATAAAGTATATCTGTTTAAGTTTGTTTTCAAAATTTTTTATTCCAAAAATTGATCATTTTAATATCTTGGGTATTCTGTTAAATATTAGTTATATTGTACTAAATGAAACTATTAAATGCTTATAAAGACTTGTTAACTAAAAACTCTTAGAGAAACTTGAAATGTAACAGTTCATGCTAGTGCACAAAGAATTTTATTCTTGAGTGGTATTTGATAGAGAGAAAATGCATTTAAGTTGTAAATAGTATTTTGGCCCTTTCTAGAATCATTTTACAGAATTGAAAATGTTCCCCCATCCAGATGAAATAAAATATTTTTTTTCTATGTTTTGTAATTGTCCCATGCCAAAAATGTCTTTTTGTAATTTTATTTAAATTTGGTAGATATTTATTTGTTATTCATTGACTATTTTTACTGTGGTTTCATTAATCATGATTACGCTTAAAAATCACATTACTCTCATTCAAAATGTATTAACAATTTTATCCAAATTTCTTGATGCTTGCATTTATATGAAGAGTAAATAAAATTGAAAATAAAATATGTTTTATTTTTCAATCATGTATCTAAATTTGTCTTGTATTTAACATATCAGGAAACTGAAATTTTTGCCAGAATTTTTCAATATAGCTAAATATTTTATAAATACTGTTCATTTCAAGAGACATTGAAACTTTTTTTTTTTTTTTTTTTTGAGTATTGACTGATATTTAATTTCTACCATTGTTCTTTGGAGATCTATGAATATTTTTCTCTTTATGCTACATTAAAAGATTACCTTTTAAAATTTTTTCCAGTGGTTTTTAAAAAATCTTTTTACTAATATCAAATTACTGATAAGTTTATTAACTGTTAAGGTTATGAAATCCAAGTTGTGTGTTTTGCAACAAATAATTTCACAGTACCATTGATCTGAGTATGACAGTGATCTGAGACTCTCCATGCTACAACTTGCGATGCATTCGACACCACAGAGCACAGCTCCTGACTCTTCGGTTCAGTCGTTCCTGGAGCTCAACACGCTCTCTCGACAATGCACTAACCGCGATACAATGAGAGATTCTTCGATGCGCTCGACGACCCACTCGGCACTCACTGACTGGCTGTCAACTCGATCGTCTCCACACGGACTAACTAGATAAGACACCAACTCGATACTAACTTATCTCGCACTCTCACTTTAGACGGGCACACTCTGACTTGCCCTCTTGATGAGGCATACTTTCTTGCCCTCTCGACAAGGCACTCCAATTGACTGCGTTCCGGCATGGTTTATACAGTCAAAAGTCGTTAATCCGGACTCGTCGGGACTTCGGCGATTCCGGATTATCGATTTTTCCGGATTATAGATCATCAGTTTAAATCTGGTAAAATGGCATGCAAAAATTATAAAATTAAAAATATGAAACCGTAATTTACGAAATAAAGAACAATTATGATCTAAAGGGTATTAAAATTTACCAAAAAAAAAAAAAAAAAGCTTAATATTTATTTGTTTACTTTATTAAACATTTCTTTCAATGTAAGTTGTTTAAGTTGCTTCGTTTTTTTATGTGATAATACATTCTCTTTAATTCCATAAATAGACATAATTTCTTGTTCAGTCAAAGTTCCGCTGTTCAAGTCCTATAATTGCTGTGCCGAGAATACCAACTAATTTGTCAATCGAAATTTTTTCGTTTTCAATAACCTCTGTCACTTTCTTCGCTATCGGAAGCGAATTATAATGACGAGGCATTTGATTTAAATTGTATCAAAGACGGAGTACATGGATAGGAAATACCACATTTAGTAAGCAATTATAAGCCAAATAAAATAAAAACATCTGCCCTTAAGATAAGGATAGTGTTGACAGATCAACTTCCAATTCATTGCGCTCCGTGGCGTTAAAGATAAACAAAGTTTAGATAAACAAAGGATATGGCTTTATTTATTTTTTGCAGCAATTCCACTTTTTGTTTAATGGACTCCGAAAGATACTTTCGCTTTGTATATCCTTTACATATTAGTAAATATATATCGGAAATTCTATTTGAAATAATCGAAAGTTCAAGCTTACTTTTATAAAATTGCTCTAACAGTCTGCAAAAAATAATAAGCCGGATCCAATTCGAAGATTAAGGAACAACGCAATCTGCAACATTAACTGAAATAGATAATCAGATAATTTTAGCTTAGCTTATCCCGTCCGTTCTGCGCATGCGTCTACGCGACGCATGCGCAGAAAGTTTTTAGCTTTGAGGTCCGGATTATAGATCATTCCGGATTATGGGTGTCCGAATTAACGACTTTTGACTGTATAACATTCGGCTTATGTTCGAGAACATTCTGGGATAAGCCGGTAAGAACTCGTTTCAGAAGGTTCTCCATCCGTCCACGGTATATCGCTAGTTTTGTCGCCAAAGGGATGATTTCTCGCCAAATATGGCAACCATGCCTGCTTTGCCATTTTATGGCAACCCTAAAACTGCTTTGCGGGGAAGCTATCTCATCACGCCTGTACATTTCGTAACAATATAGATGACAGTACGACTTTGCTCAGTCCGCCCCCAATTTCCATCCAATCCCCAAGCCATCTTACCGGGCCTGTACATTTCGTAACAATATTTAAAACTGCTAATATAGTGTGTTTGAAAGAATTTCAGTTTCAAACTTGAATAATCATTTTAATCTAACAAGAAATACCAGTTTTCCTATTTTTCGATTTTTTGTTTCATTTGAATGTATAATAGCTGTGTGTTATGTATGATTATTATTTCTATAAATTTAGTATTTTTTTAATGGTTTTTTTTTTTTTTTTGTTCCATATCTGTGTTTAGGCTCTGGAAGAAGTAATTCTCTTTTATAATGATAAATAAGAGTAATAAGAGTAATGAAAGAATCCTGATTCACATTCTAAACTAACTGGTCTTGCATTAAGTAATTAAAGACAATAATTCAATATTCATTCAGTAGATCAGTTCCATACACATATTCTAAAAGTAATTACACATGTTTATGTAACTTGTGTTACCATGTTTGTGATTAAAGTAAATTTTCTGTTTCCTTTGGTTGCTATATTCAAATCCTAATGGTAATTTTAGTCAAAATTCTGAGTTCAAAATTCATTCAGTTCATTTCAGTTCAAAATTCCATTGTATTCAAAACCAACAAACAAGTACAAACAACAAGAGGGATTCTATACTTTGTGAGAGTTTCTGTATCTCATATCTCTGTGAAAGAATTCATGTTGTATGTGGAAAAATCTTCTTTTTGTTAAATATTCTAAAAACCTGTTTTGCAGATGAGGCACGTGAACAACATCTGTGTTTTTTTGGTAGTCAGAAAAGGAAATTGGAGCATTTCTGTGATGTGTTTCAGATAACTTCCATAACCTGCTGTTTATTCTGAATAATAAAATAAATTAAGCATTCAGTTTCTTGTCCTGCTGATCACGAGAATAAGAGACAAACTTCATACTTCAGTGAATGACAAACCATCCTGTAACCCAGCAATACTTTGCTTTGATTCCTTTCATTTCATCCTCACAAAAGAGCTGTTTTTAATTTTTATCTAAAACAGCTGCTCTTAATTTTTATTTAAAACAAGTTTAAAAATTATATTTGGTACAAACTCAACAAGGTCATGGAAGTAATTTGATCAAGTTATAATATCCTATTTAAAATAGATTTCCTTGAAAGCTAGAATACTGAAGAACTATGCAGCGACTATTTGCTGAGTTCTTGTTATGTAAGTAACAAGTCCAAAGAAGGGTTAAAATACCCTTTTATTCTGTCTCAAAATAGGTGTACAGATGTTTTCTTTTGGGCACATAAGAAGCCTTTAAAAATGTGAGGCTAACTAATACTAAATAAAATTAATCACCTGAAGCTGCATAGAATCAAACTCACATAGTTGGCTCTTATTTAAGGATTGCCAGTTTATACTAGCGGGCACATATTAACGATCATAAAGTAGCAACCTGTAACTAATAGCAACAACATGCTCGAAAGGCAGAACATGCTCTCCTACTGCTCAGACCTAAGCTAAATACTAGTTTCTACCTTATTTGCTTAAAGCATAATACTGAAAATTCATTCTGGCAGGGAAATGTAGGTGGAAAAGTAGAAGATGAAGGAAAGGCTTGTTCCAAAGTAAAACCCTGTGAAATTAAAGCTAATTGGCCAACTATCTAAGAATCAATGCATTGAAACATGGCTCTTTATCTCAATGCTTCTTATGTCACATCAGAATTAAAAAAGTAACAACATAAGCTCTGAGTAATTTCATCTTCACCTGTTTAGAAATAAATTAGAAGCAATAGATCTAGTGTTAGCAAAATAAATGTATCAGATATAATTTTCCATATGCAAATGAGGCAGTAGAAAATAACACTTCTTATATTGTTTCAAAATTCTGGAATTTAACTATATGTACGTATCCAAATGATCAGAAGGTTGTTGATGCTTGTTCCTTGATCTATTGCACCAAGATATTTTACTGTACATTTATTTACAATTTATTTACAAGTCGTATGCCACCTGGCATGTTTACAAGCGTTATGCCTCCTGGCATGTACATGATAGACATATTTTGCCACCTGGCATGTGAATTGATACATCATATTAGTTTTCTGCCACCTGACAGATACGATGAAATTACCTCAATTAGCGGTAATATAATACGCCCGACATTTTGGCGTGTCCGCTTCCCTTACGGTCTGTAACGCAACTAACCTTTTGTGCGGTGCGCCCTCTGGGCACAAATTACCGCAATCACCGAGGAGGCCAAAACATCCTCTCCCCCCCCCCGATGAATTACATTCATCTTAATACAATCTTCAATATATGCAAACAAGTAAATGAAAAATATAGAAACTGAAAACATACAAAAACCTTCAAAAAGTATAAAATTACATATTACACTTACCAATCTTCTAGCAAAACATCTTATATCTTACTATATTGAAACGTTAACTATGAGGGTT